TTTCATCTTTGTTACATATCTAACCCATACTAGTACTACGATTCTAACATAAACAGTGAAAGATTTGACATTGCAAATATAAAAGAAAAAGCAAAACACATAATTAAGTAATAGATATGTGACATATACTTTTTCATGGGTCATTGGGGAAAGAGTGAAGAAATTTAAATATTAAAATACGATATATGGGATGGCATAAAACATCTAAGTATTTATATTAATATCAATCGATATTGTGAGGTCAACGTGGGGTGCATGAAGGAACAATAGCATGGCCCAAATTAACGATAAATCAAAATTTAAGATTTTTTCAATATTTATTTATTATTTTATTTATTATTCATTTATTTATTTGTATATTTGTTATCCAAGAAACAAAAGGATGATAAAACAATAAGAGTATATTAATATCAATTGATATTGTGAGGTCAACGTGGGGTGCATGAAGGAACAAAAGCATGGCCCAAATTAACGATAAATCAAAATTGAAGATTTTCTCAATATTTATTTATTATTTTACTTATTATTCATTTATCTATTTGTATATTTGTTATCCAAGAAACAAAAGGATGATAAAACAAGAAGACAATCCAACGCAAAACATAACTTTTATCTTTTAAACACGGATAATTACTTGTGAGTAATCAACTTTAGGTTTCTATATACTATTCATCATTAAATTTATTGTTGTGTTTGATATACCATTGAATTTATTGAAATTATTCAAAAAATTACCAATATGACCGATAATAATGAGTTTTTCCGGTTTCCATCGTCTTTTTCATCCAAACATGAGTTTTACGGTGAGCCTCGCCTTGTTCTTCATCTTTTGACTCAACCTAAAAGTCGATCCATCATCAAACACACAATTTGCAATTCAATTTCAAGAAGTTGGAAAAGGGTGTGTGTGTGTGTGTGTGTGTGTGTGTGTGTGTGTGTGGGGGGGGGGGGTTGGGATGAACATTTGGACCTCTGGACCTGGTAAGCATCAACAGGTCCGGTCAAGATCCATCAATTTTTACAAACTGATCTAGTCCGGTTCGGTTCAAATGCTCACTCCTAGGTGAAAGGACATACATGCACAACAAATACCAATCCATGTTCATCATTTTAATAGGTCCACACACAAACTTACAAATGAATCGATGAAAAGGGTGAGGACTTTCAACAAATTTTGGATTTTAGAACTGATTTGTAGATTTCATAGCGGATTTGCAGGTTCAAACTTGAACTCGAACTAAAGTCCGATTTCAGAACCGATTTGCAAATTCAAACTCAAGCCTTTTTGCATCATATTTCTAGATACCATATTCTTCGTTGATTCTTCGTGAGTTTAGGGTTTCCAGACTCAAACTCAAACTCAAAATATGATACAAAACAATGTTAGAGTTTTTCAAACTCAAACTCAAAATCTGATGAAAACACAGGCTAGGAATGTGATTCAAAAATCATTCTTATTTTAAGTTCATGAACAATTTCTGATTTTTGAAAAACCCTTCAAACGATTATGGAAAAACAACTTCGATTTCAGGAACGTGTTCATCCTCCTTCAAATGATTTTCATTTCAAGGGTTTTGTTTCGCGAATTATGAATAAGATTGCCAGAAAATTCAAAGTTGGTCGGAGAAAATGACCGAAAAATTCAAAAATGGTCAGAAAATTCATGTTTGGCTGGGAAAGACGTCGGAAACCGGAAAAACCACTATTATGGTCGTATTGGTCATTTTTGACCAATTTCAACAAATTCAATGATATATCGAGCACACAAATAAACTTAGTGACTAGATATGTACAAAACGTAAAGTTAATTGTCTTTTTAAAATACATAATATTTCCATCAAATGTAGTTACACATAATTTTTTGAAATATAAATTACAACCTATTTTTTTAAATATTTCTTAATTTGATATTTTTTTTATAAAGATGATCCATTTCCCCACACCATCACGGTCCCCCGAGCCAACATTCAAAATTGATGTAGAAGCAATTTCGTCATCGACCTCTGGGTATTTAACTATTCTTATTCTTCAACAAAACATAATTTGGAATGCATTGAGATGTAGATTTTTATTGTAAAACGAAAAAAAATAAAATAAAGAACAAATGTAACTCTTTAGGAAAATGAAATCCATAATTTATGTTTGCAGTAAATAAAAGATACCATTTTTTATAATTATGAGTTTCAAAAATGAACTTGTGAAACCTAAAATTACACTATATTACAAAATGGTTATAAAGGAACTTCGCAGATTGAATTGAAAAAACTAAAATTGGTTGTAAGTTACACTACTTTCACAAATTTAGTCGAAATTTATTGCCATTGTCAACAGGGTAATTTTGGAAATAGCTTCCATTCTCATTCATATCTTTCATAATCAACATTTTAGAGGAGTCAACAACCACTAAAAAAATTAGAAATAACGTAAAAGAAAAAAACCATAGTGACTTGCTCTAAAAGTAATAGATCTTTATGTTACATAACCAAAAAAGTGAAGATCTAGTCTTCCATACGGAATATAGAAGTAAATTTTTTGACTTATGAGGTCAAAAGACCAATGTAGCATTGTAACATCTTTAATTTAAATTTTGATTAAAAAAAGTATATTTGAGCTTGGATAAGTTGAATTGGTATCTATAGCAAGAAACAACAATTTAATAAAATAAAAAAAACTGCACATATATTGTAGCTTCTTGCTGAGAAGTTGCCAATGCAACAGAACCAACCTAAATTTAATAAAAAATGAGTAAATTTAACCTGAACGGCCAGATGTAAGAAATAACAATACATTCACATTTAATCATTTATCACAGCATCCTACTTTCATTTATTAATAGGGCAAATTCAAAAAAAAAAACATTATATTTTGGCAATAGTGTGGTTGAACCAATAATACTTTATTTTCTCCAATCAAACCATAAAATATGAAATTTAAAGTATAAGAAAGAAAATTGTTCTATTAATCTATATTTGGATACCGTTGCTATAAGTGATATATTTTTAAAGAATAGTGGTAATAGGAATAAATGAAAGTGTTATGCTATAATATATTAATACATTATTAACCAATGAGAGTACATTGTTATTTATTGAATTTAACCAAAAAGAATAAAGACAAAATTGCAAAAATGGTCCCTGTGGTTGTCAAAATTTTGTGCTTTTGGTCCAAAACGAAATGTTGGTGCACCACTGGTCCAAAATTGGATCTTTTTAGTGATTTTGGTCCCTATCCACTTAAAAAGACAATTATACCCTTTATATTTGTTTTTCTTATTTTTATATAAATTTTTAATGATTTTAAGTAATTAAAAATTAGAGAATGACCCTCTCTCTCTCTCTCTCTCTTTCTCTCTCTCTCTCTCTCTCTCTCTCTCTCTCTCTCTCTCTCTCTCCGGTGGTAGCTTTCATCTTCTTCACCTCTCATCTGTCTTTCTCTCTTTCAAGAAAACACATTCAAGAACACCCTTACTGCCACCACCATCCTCCATCACCACCAGACGCCCCAGATATGTTCGTACATCGAGGAAGGAGCGGTGACGACTTCGTTCTGCACCATAGATCCGATGGAAGAAAGTGACAACGGTGTTGATTGAGAAGTCGACACAGGCATCACCATTTTCCAGCCATCACTGTTCGCTACAACCATCCACCAGTAACCACCGTCATCTCCCTACCGTTACCTCCATATCTCCTTGGTCTTAACTCGATGAGACCTCTCCTTAGATCTAAAAAGCTCAAATTTGAAAAACCTCTCCTTCACCACCGTTATTCTTACACAGATGGTTGAAAAACAGAGAAGAGAGATGATGGTGGCCGGAGATGGTTATTATTTGAGCATCAAACACACTGGATACTGATTTTAAGATTTTTGTTTTTCCTCCCATCGTGTTCTTCATTTTCTAGAATCTGTCATATGTATGTTTGTTTAAATCATTTAGATCTTGATTAATGGCTTTCAATTTGTTGTCAATCTCAGTGGTACGAATTTCACTGCGTCGATTTGGTGATCAAAATGGTTTCGTTGATGATTAGATTCAGATAGACGAGATGAACTTGGTCTTGATCAAAAGGTTCGTTTCAAATGGAAATATGGGTTGGATTTCTCGATTCTCAGTTGTTGAGCCACCACCTCCTCCAGTCTCATAGATGGTGATCGGAGATAGAGCAAAGAGAAAGAAGGTGGGATTTTTTTGGAGCTTTCCATGGCAGATCCCACAGGTGGTGTTGGTGGTCTTCTAACGGCGGGCTATGGTTTTCCGCAGGTTCTGATGGTATAATGGTCGCCGGTGAGGGTATGGATGATAAGGGGTGAAAGTGTCGGACTCGGTGGCGGTGAAGGGAGGTGACAACGATGAACGAAGGTAGTGGAAGAGGGGTGTTATGATGACATCGGTCTCGTTTTGCAGATCTGGAAATGAAAAGATGGTTGTCCGGCAGGTCGAGGTCCAACAGATGGTGGTTCAGTAGGTGGTAGGGTGACCGGTGATGGTGTTGCTGAGAGAGAGAGAGAGAGAGAGAGAGAGAGAGAGAGAGAGAGAGAGAGAGAGAGAGAGTGTGTTGTGTGTGTGTGTGAGAGAGAGAGAGAGAGAATATAAGTGAGTGGGGTACGAGGGGTGGGGTAGGTGTTATTTCTTTTTCTTTTAATAATAAGAAATTAAAAAGGAAATTAATAAAAGAAATATAAGGGCATATCCGTCTTTTTAAGTTGGGTGTGGACCAAAACCACACAAAGATGTCAATCATAGGGACCAAAATCGCTCAAGGTATTCAAAATTGGACCAATGATGCACCAACATTTCATTTTGGACCAAAAGTACATAAATTTGCCAACCACATGGACCGTTTTTGCAATTTTGTCTTTAAACGTTTATAAAGCTTGTAACCTCTATTGATGCTAACAAACCATTCCACCCTATTTAACCACCTATTAAAAAACATGTTGTTATTAACATAACCTGCATTTTATATCAATCAGCTAATTCAACAAAATTATGAAAACAAATGAGAAAATTATGGAAGTTGACAAAACAAGAAGCACATTTAATGAGGAGTTATCCTCCAACAATCACTCATTTTGGATTAACCTTTGGTGAGATCAAAGGTGGAGCCACCTTAGGACCAGGGTAGGCCCAGGCCCACCTTCAAATTTTCATTTTTATTTTTTTATTTTTTTTGCATTTAGAAATATGAAATTATTTGGGGGTGTAAATCACTTAAAAACACATGTAGTTTAGAGGCAAGGCGTTGTATCTCTTTCCTATAGATTAAGAGTTCGATCTCATTGCCATACATTTGCTGTATTTTTTTAATTCATTTCTAAAGTTACAGTTTGTTCCCTTATATTTGAAAGTTTTTTTAATTCATTTCTAAAGTTACAGTTTGTCCCCTTATATTTGGAAGTTAAATTCGTTAGTTTTCAAAATTTACATATTTCACACCTCAAATTTTATAAATTTGCATAATTCTATTTTTAGCTTATTTAATTTAGTTTTTAGTTTTTCTTTTTTAGATTTATTTTTATTATATATATAAAAAAAAATTGTATTGAAGAGGCCATTTTCACTTTTGGCATAGAGCCTTCAAAATCAACGGAGAAACACCCTAAAAAAAAAAATTTGGTCTCCACCTTTGGGTGAGATGACAACATATTATGATGATATCTATATCCCGAGCAACCTGTAACATGATACACATGAAACAAGTGTCACATCAAATGATTAGTCTCTCAGATATAATTAAATTTCAATTCAGTGAAATATTGTTAAAAAAAGTTACTAAAATCTCAACCAAAACATCCAAAACCCAAAAAACTTTATTTAAATGAATTAAACCAGCCCAAAAAAAACAAAGGAACGCTAGGTTTCTTTGTGACATTTTGTCAACAGTTAGTGGGTACTAATTACTAAAGTCCCTAAAAAAAGTAAAGTACATTGTAAAACTGTTCCACAGAACTTCTAAGTTGTTTATGAATTCAAACATAACGTTTACATTAAGAAAACTATAACCAGCATCCAGTTTGAAAAGAAGTTACAAACTTCAGTAAATATCATTTAAAACTCAAATACTTTGTACAAAGAACAACAGCATACAAAAAAATCTGCATACAATTATCATTCCAATCAATCGAAAATCGTGTGCACTTGATTTTAACTGAAATATATCAGAAGAAAGACAAATCAAGGTCATGATGATCTTCGTTGGAGAAACAAAAACGGACCTTTTTGGAAGAATTGATGAGACAGATGCCAACGTTTCTTATCTATCAATCGGAAGGATTTCCATGGATGGCGATTGACGACGGGGAAGCATAGGTTACAATCGGACGAAGGCGATCGGGGAGAGTGAGCAGAAGTTGCTTCCAATTTACGAGAATCCCCTTCGTTTATTTATTTATTTATTTATTTATTTATTTTAAGAGGAGGAGCGTTTGTGAGGTCGCTGTGGTTTTCTCGATCGGGAAGAAACGAAGGGGAAAAAAAGGATGAAATAATAAATTACCATCAATACAACAAAATTTCCATAAAAACCATATGTGGTCTCTTTTGTAAACCACGGGTACCATTTGCGTAATTTTGTCAAGAAAAAGAATATTAGAATCCGTTCCCAAACGTTTAAACTTTAAAGAGTGGACTCAGAACGCTCACTATAGTCAATAGTCGCGTATGGTTCGATCACGTCACCTTCTCCAACACTTTCGTCTTTTATTTCCTCTCTCACTCTCATTTTGTTGTGAAAGTTACGAAGTTTAGTGGCTGTGTTCTTCATCTTTACCCATCAACACCATCAAAGGTAATTCTTCTATAACATCTTGGTTTCTTGAATTCTATAACAATCTGTAACAATACTCCCAAAATCAACAAACCCATAATTGGGATTTTGATCTCTAATAAGATTCTTAAGAACCCCAGTTTGTTAATGCTTAAAATTGTTGTTGTTTGGGGCTCTTTTATCTGTTATCAATTGCAAGTTATTCTAGATACATCTCTTTCCTTTTCTGGTCATCTTGAAGATATCAGTTGATCCTACTTTGATGTTGTCATGTAAGGTCCCAAATCCAAAAATCAATAAACCCAACAAGAGAAATTAGGGGTGAATCATTAATGGCAGGCTAAATCTGTATGGATTGCCGTTGGGTTTTTAAATTTTGATGTCGAAACTTTTACTAAAGTACAAATAGAGAAAAACCCTATTCATGGCCCCAAATCTAGTCATACTCAAAATATGTCTCACGTGTCTACGCTATTCCCCTTATCGTAATAAACCACACAATTTATAACTACAAAAATGAAGTACACAAATAAATGAATAATACTGAAAATTCGGCAACACAAAAAGGTTTTATAATTAGTTTTTGAATTAGAAAGCAGAGGGCGGATCATAAACCATCACATCCATGAGTAGAGAGATAGAAGTGCATAATCATCATCTAAATGGCAGTTTGCCAGCTGATATTCCCGAGGATTTGAGAGAGTTTTTGTCAGAAGTAGAAGGTGTTAGTTTTGAAGAAGCTATCTTGCAACAGGTAAATTTAAAATCAAGATTATACCCTTTTCAATTTTATTATTTTTTTAGAAAAAAAAAAGCGCTTTGATCCTTATGTATGCAACAGGCAAGCGTTTATCAATCATATCAAGAATCTGGTAGGAACAGGGTTGTGGCTACAGATGATGAGCACTCGAGTTGTTCTTCAGAGGATGAGGAAGAAGATGAGGATGAGGATGAGGATGAGGATGAGGATGAGGATGAAGATGCAGATGAAGACGAAGATGATGGTGAATCCTCAGTGCATGAAATTGTTAACTCACAAGAAGTCACTGATGAAGCTTATGCTAGATCCTTACAAGAATTTGGGGAGGAATATGATGAGTTCATGATAACCGAATTCAGTGGCAGAGCAAGTGGTGTCACAGAAAGTCCTTCGGTATTAATACTTGTTATTTTGTTGTTAGATCTTTATCTCAACCCATTTTTTATATAACTCTTATATTTCTATGATCAATGAACAGACACAGGTATCCAGTCCAGATTCAAGCCAAGATGACATTGACCCTGATAATATGCGATATGAGGTACAATGATTGTTTCAGACTGCAAATACCTGACTTACATCTCACATGATGCTTTATGGGACAGGGGTGTGGGCCAGCTCAGAGGTTGCTGGTAGAATAATTTTTTTTTCAAAAACATTTATCAACTTCAAAATGGAATTGATTTTTTAAATCGTCGTGTAGGAATTACTAAACCTTAGTGAAACCATTGGTGTTGAAAACATAGGACTATCCGCAGAGCGCCTTTCACTCTTACCAAACTACATCTACACATCCGGAATGTTCTCAAAGAACAAGGAAGAAAGGTAAAAAATAGATCTTGAAATTTCTTTCAAAGTTTTAGTTTTAACTTTTGATTTTATATTTAAAAGACCACAACTACCCTTTAAAATTTAAATAGTTTTGTTCATTACTTATATAGAGTATGTGAAATCTGTTTCTTTTTTTAGTTGTGTGATATGTCAAGAGAATTTCAAATTCGGGAAACGCATGATATCGTTGCCTTGTTCTCATCAGTATCATAGTAAATGCATCAGCGAATGGCTGAAGCTCAAGAAGGTAACATTTGCTAGTGTTGTTGATTGCAATTAGTTTTCTTAGACATCTTTCTTTGCTTTTAACTGAAGCTGTTAAATATTTTTCAGAATTGTCCTATTTGTCAAAAGGAGGTGGTATAAGCCTTTTGAAGCAAGGATGGAACTTGCATGAAAATGAACCAGCAAAAAAAGCTGGTAATTAGTGTTTCTTGATTTCGTTTTTTTTTTTTTTTTTTTTTCGATTTTGTGTAAATAAGTATTGCTGGAAAATGCTTTTTGGGCATGGAATGGTTGGGATTTGTTTAAGATAATATAAAAGTTAGAGTAAATTACATATTTGATCCCAAAACTTTGGTGTTCACAACACCTTTGGTCCAACTATAGCGATTGTTGCTGAAATGATCCTAATTTTATTTCAAACTAAATTAGCAGTTTGGTTCCTCCCTATTCACTCTGTTTCCCTTCCACCGTTAAGACCATCTCATGTGCTGTGCACATGAGGGTAAAACTGTCATTTTTGCCCTCAAAATGCACCTCTCCCTCTCTTAACATGCATTGCCGTATATCCTCTTTCTCAAGATATATGGTAAAGTTTCAACATGTTTATAAAAAAAAAAAAAGTTGTATGGGTTTGTTTAAATGGTTTGAACTTTGAACTTTGAAGCTTGTTTATAAATAAAAAATAGATCATGAGTTTTCTATCACTCTTCTCAGCCTCTTCTGTCAAATACCCAACTTTCATAGTAGCTTCTCGTTCAGCTTCCGTAACATTATTTTTTTTCCATCATAGGGACCATTTCTGCAACAATTGCGATAGTTGGACCAAAGGTGTTATGACACCAAAGTTGCGGGATCAAACCTGTAATTTACTCTAAAAGTTACGAGTTTGAAATCCGTGGATGTCAGCTATATATAACGGCACCTCAATCCCAACACCAAATTTAGTGTTAATTACTTTATCTCAACATCATGTTTGGGTAACTAGTGTTGGTGTATTATATTTAGAGGAATAGACCACTAGTCATAAGGGTGAAAATCTTGACCTTTTTCGCAAACGGAATCGGTACCAATACTGTATCCTATACTGTGGTTCAATATTTGGTCCTAGAAATTACCCTAAAAAATCGGTATCTTTCGGTTCAGTACCTGTCTGGAACCAATTTCACCCCTACGTTCAAAGTAAATCTACTTTCCCGAATTGAACCAGGTAACTGGTAGGGGCAGCAAATCGGGCATTCATGTTGTGTTTTCAGATGCCACGACACGACAGGACAACAATTTTTATATGATACGAACGTGATACAACACCATATTGTGTTTTGTTTTACTAACAAGAAAACGACTCAACTAAAACTCGATAAAAACGACCAACATCAAAAAGATAATAATATAACATAAACTTTTAGTTTATTTAAATTCAAAATTAATCTGCAGAACACAACACGACAAACATATGTTAATATTGTGTCAATTTCTTGTTGAATCTTGGACATGAACACAACATGACATGATGTGTTTTTTGCATACAACACAAACACGAATACAAATTTCAATTTCGTGCCAATTTTATTTTGTGTCGTGTGTCATGGATAGCCACCCTAGGTTCCAGTACAATACCTTATACTTTGCTTCTCTCTGCAGTATTAGGAATTCCCCCCAAATTTCAACATGTAGTATTCTTTTATGGTTACATTGATTGACATCAGAATAATAGAATTGATGTTCTCTATTGGACATGTACAAAGAATAATAGAATTGAAGTTCTCTATTGGACATGTAAAATTATGTTCAATTCTATTATTCTTGGTACAAAATGGTTCCTATAAAGCTCAATGTGCTTCTTTGGACATAAAATAGAATGAATATTAAACCTCACTCAAAGCTCTCTCTAGTCAGCAACTTATCTAGAAGCACTCTCCAAAGAACACATTGAGCTTTATAGGAACCATTTTGTACCATCTAGTTTGCATGTTGTATTCCTACAAAATAATAGTCGATGTGCTTTCTAATATTACTCACAGCAAAGATACCATCCACGCCAATGCCCCATTCCCACCTATTCGGACGATTCTAAAGATGCACTTGATCAAGTAACTTCGTGAGCTTCGCCAACTGAGAAGTCGTACCCCCTTCATCACAAAAAGAATGAGCACAACTCCAAACCTACCCACCGTCAAACTACTTATCAGACACCCAACACTCCTTGTTCAATCCTAAAGCATATAGCCTCGTAGCTCCTCCATTTCCAATATGCTTTTGCAACAAAGAATGTGGAATAACATGGAGGTCATTCATTCTATCAAACAGACAAACCATAGTAACCCATGCACCTACCTTTCAGTTTAGAAGAGATCGAACCCAAACCACCATGTAAACCTTGAATATATGAATTACCCTCACCCAAAGCGCATCACCTTCATTATAAAAACACCACCTTCACTTTATCAAAACCACAACATTAAATCCCTTTAAACTACTAATGCCCAACTCTCCTTTATCTTTAGCATTCAACACCAAGTCTCATTTATCCCAAGAAATCTTTCTATCTAAACCACTCCCACCCCAAAAGAAACAAGACCTCAACGACTCTAAAGCAACCAACATTGCATCAGATATATATACAAAGGCATATAAAAAACCTAACCGGTTAAGAACTGATTTGATTAGAGTCAACCTACCACCCATTGAAAGAAGGTTAGCTTTCCAATTTGATAATCGTTTCTTGAAATTCTGAATCATATAGATTAAGTTATAATAGCTAAAATTATTTCATCATTAGAACTTGTGAGTTTGCTACATGCCTTCCTTTCTATTAAAGGAGGCTTGTGAGCCATTAAATGACTAGTTGTTGCAATTGTTGCTTAGATATTGTCTTGAAAGATTAATTTGCACCCTTGTATTCATCCCATTATAGCTAGCACTCGCTAATCAGTGTTCGAATCTATCCATGCATATATCATTATAGGGAGCTATTTTGCTCCCCATGATCATGGATTTCGGAGTGCACCTCGAGGTATGAATTGTTTAAACCCTTTGTTGTTGTAAACCTTGATTAAAGTTAATTCTACATGGTGATCTAGCAAGTGGGTCTCATGACGAATCCGAAGAGTGGTATCATAACCATCTATGGCCAAACAGTTATGATGAATATTTTATATTTTTACACAATGCTTATCAATTTATTTGAATTCATGTTTGTATGTTCCTACACCTTTAATTTAACAAAAAAATATATAGTATTAAGGATTAATAAGACCACTACTTTAAGATGTCGATCCATGACTAATCATGTTTACGGCTTAATAATTAATTTGGGAATTAAATAGAGTAGGTGATCCGTCGTGTGGAAAGACTATGCACATGGCATGGCAAAAAAATATTATGTTTGAAGTTTTTATGATACTCCAACTAACATCTCCAGTATTATTCTTCACCATAAATCCATGAATATGTTTTCCTAAGGGTTGTCATTGACCCCTTTTTTATCAACCATCAAAAGGGTTTTAGCACATAATTTTTTTTATTCTAATTTCCCATATGGAATGAGATAAATAACATTAAGTTAAAAAGTGTTTATGACGTCATCGATCCCTTTCTTCTCTAATATAGAACCACCATTTACAAATCTTTCTCGCATTCAAACCCCTTATATTTGAACTTGAAACTTTCTTTATGGAATGTCCAAGTGTTTTCTGGCGGCAGCGGAGTCAGAAATTTTAATACGGGGATACAAACATTTTCAAGATTCAAGATAGTAATGTAAAGAGTTTTTTGATATTTAAAGTCGTAAAACGAAAGAAAATTAATTTAAGTAAAAGTTACAATTGAATCATCCTAGTCGTCATGTCTTGAAATCAATCAATGATATTGTCATTATGATGACTTGTAGAAACAAATCATTCTCAACGAAAAGTGACCAAACAATCGTTTAAAACTTGATCATCTCAACGAAAAGTGACCAAACAATCGTTTAAAACTTGATCATCCATGGGATTCTACAACTTATTATCTCTACACTTGTTGTAGCAATCACAAAAGATATATTTTATGTAGTTTTCTTATCTCATTCATTAAAACATATACTATCTTTTTATCTAGGGATTCAAATAATATATATATATATATATATATATATATATATATATATATATATATATATATATATATATATATATAAAAGACATTTTTTGGGAGTTCTATAATACCCCACCATCCTATGTTGCTCCGCCATGTTTTCTGATGAACCACCAAAATGATGGTTATGATAAGTTTTTTTAAAGCCATCATTTCCACATTTGGAATCATTATTTTTGTGGGGTGCTTGTTTTTGTCATCATCCGTATAATATTTATCTAAATGGTATTTAAATGTTAGTAGGATGGTGTTTACAGGTTAGGCAACGTGCATGCCCAATCCATATCCATCAATCAACCCACTTCACCAAGTTCTCGGTTAGTAAAATTATAGAAAAGGTGGGCCATGAATTGGATTTATTTATATATTAATGGAATTAAATTATGATTGATTTTTAACAAGTCGAAAATAACAAAATAAAAAGTATATTTGAAAATAAAATATATTAGGACATGATTAGCAAAACTAACTAGAAACTGTAAGCTTAGAAAGTGTGAAATTTGTTATAAAATAACGATGCAGAACAGTTGAAACCCAAAAGGGAAAATAACATTATGAACGACTATACTTACTGAAAGGTTACACGACATAAGAGGAGAGAAAAAGATATAGTAATAAATGATTTTATATAGAACCTTACAAAATAGTCCTAGTGACTATTGTGGACGAAATCGGTGATCAAAATCGTTGTTAATGAATATTCTTTCACTAAATGTTCGTGGAATCGGGGAGGATGTTAAAGTCAGGTGGGTAAAGAATCTCAAAACTCAACACAGAATCAATTTCCTTGGGCTTCAAGAAACTCGACTCACTGACTTCTCCAAGATCAATGCTCGTGATTGTTGGGACTCTCAAGACTTGGACTTTGATGGTGTAGATTCTACTGGAAGATCAGGGGGACTGATTTCAATATGGGATACATCGTTGTTTCAGAAAACTGAGGTAATTAAAAGTAGACATTACTTCATCATTATTGGTGTTTGGTCCGGGATACCTGGAAAAACAATTTTTGCAGACATATATGGTCCGCAATCGCCAACTGATAAGAAAGTCATGTGGGATGAGTTATCTCAAATCAAACTAGCCCACTCAGGGAATTGGCTACTCTTTGGAGACTTCAATGTAGTGAGACGAAGAGCATAAAGATTCAATTCACAGTTCTGCCCTGCTAGTGCGGCTGCGTTTAATTACTTTATCCATGAATCAGGGCTTCACGATTTTAATATGGGAGGGGAGCGGTTTACATACATGAGCAGGGTAGATGCAAAACTTAGCAAGCTCGACAGATTTTTGGCTTGCTCGAATTTTCTTACTTTCTTCCCATCTCTCACGGCCACTGCACACCCTAGACACCTATCCGATCATTGTCCAATCACTCTCTCCTCAACTTTCAAAATCTTTGGACCCCCCTCCTTCAAGTTCTACAACTCGTGGTTACTGTTAGATGGTCTGGATCAGCTAGTACCTAAAACTTGGAGTGAATTCAATGGCTATGGAAATGCAGACTCATACCTTGCGGCGAAACTACGACACCTCAAAGAAGAAATTAGGAAGTGGAGGAATATTGAAAACTGTTGTAAAATACGACGGATACGAATTGACTTAAATAATATTAGCTCAATGCGGAATGGGATCAAAAATTATCAAAGCGTAATAATCACAACTTAATACGAATAAAATAAATAGAATAGAGACACAGGAATTTACGTGGAAACCCAAATCGGGAAAAAACCACGGGCGGAGGAAGCCGAGAAACAATTCACTATAATTTGCAGTGTTTACAGGGATTATGAAAGAGATTACAAATAGAGTGGGAGAGCTAAAATACACGGTGATGTATAAGTATATATATTTAATGCTTTTCTATATATACTTTGATTTTGGTTCGTGTGTTTATG